ACACCACCTCCAACAGCACATCACACCATTACACCACCTCCAGCAGTACCTCACACCATTATACCACCTCCAGCAGTACTTCACGCTATTACACCACCTCCAGCAGTACATGACTCCATTACACCACCTCCAACATTACATTACACCAAATCCAGCAGTACATCACATCGTTACACAACCTCCAACAGTACTTCACGCTATTACACCACCTCCAGCAGTACATCACTCCATTACACAACCTCCAAAAGTACCTCACACCATTACACCACCTCCAACAGTACATCACACCATTACACCACCTCCAGCAGTACCTCACACTATTACACCACATCCAGCAGTACATCACGTCATTACACCACCTCCAGCAGTACATCACACCACTACACCACCTCCAGCAGTTCCTCACACCATTACACCACCTCCAACAGTACATCACACCATTACACCACCTCCAACAGTATATCACACCATTGCACCACCTCCAGCAGTACCTCACACCATTATACCACCTCCAGCAGTACATCACACCATTACACCACTTCCAACAGTACCTCACACCATTACACCACCCCCAACAGTACATCACATCATTACACCACCTCCATCAGTACCTCACACCATTACACCACCTCCAACAGTTTAATATAGCGTACTCAACCTCTTAATGTCCAACATTAGACGTTTGTTTGTTTTTTACATAAAATCTTGATTTTCTTAAGTCTGTGTTTTATTCCCCTTTTTCTTTTATTGAAAACTTTAAAGAAATATTTTAAAGGTGAACAAAACTCTAGGTTCATATGTCTTACCAGTACAACAAAATTTAACACTTGTGTTAATTTTGTTTCACAGACTCTGTTATTCAAGACGTCACCAACGAATCCACAATCTGCAGGTCAAGCAGGTTACGTGGAGAAGGGACGTTATGGTAGATTATTGTTCAAGTTACTGCAGAAAAAACCCTTTAGATGAAGTTTATTATACAAGAGAGGCTTCTAGCAGCTACTTACCTGGTAGTTAGATATGTAAGTTCCTATAAGAAGACTGTAAAAATTAGCAGTAAGTATAGACAGATTGGCTGCGGTAGCACTCATGTTTCTTATAACGACAGACATGATGACGTAAAGGAAGAACAGGCACGTTGTATACCCCAGCTGGAAAGCTACTGGAAAGATGAAGAACAGCTGTTTTAGTTATTGAAACAGGTAATTGTCATAATATTATTCACATACCTAAACTAATATAGGTTATTATATGGTGAAGTAAACCGTGCCATACATATTATAACGCTATTACTTAATAAACGAGTATATGTTACTAACGCAGTTTTACTGAAAAACAAAAATAACCGAAACGGTTTTAAATACAGAACTTGATAGTACTTGTTGAAAAACTAGTTGAAACCACTAATCTCTAGTCAATACACGCATATATATTAACACAAAATTTAGTATCAACCCGTAGGCTGTTGGCTGCAACACACAAAGATGCGATACCTACCACACAGAAAAGTATGGTTATTTATGAATTCTCGTGCCACTGCGAATGTCGGTAGGTAGGTCGCACTTCACAAAGACTGCAGGATATAATTAAACAACATGTACCCACATCCATAAGAACTAAGAGCGTGAAAGAAAAGAATTTACCACGTCGCTCCTGTAAAACAAAAGTTCTACCACCGAAATGTGAATCAGCGATTGACCAGCATTTACTAGTGAACCTGACTTGTGCTGACAACTACACGGATAGCAGGTTTAAAATTATTGCAAATGGCCGGTCGACCTTTCATCTCTATATTTTGGAAGCCACCTTTATCAAAACACATAAACCTGTCCTTTACCACCAAAAAGAATTCCTAT